CCACCTCCCCATCCACTCACCACCCACCTCCCCATCCACTCACCCATGCACCCATCCACCATAAATACTCCCCGAGCACTTTGAGGACTGTGTGCAGTGTGTTAGGCTGTGTGGGGAGCAAAGCTTACTCTCCCTAAGGGAGCTCTCAGTGAAATGACTCTGATAGGTCATCACTCAGTCACAAATCTCCTCCAATCACGAACAGCGATGGATGCTATACAGGAAAAGAGCAGGGGTATGACTGTGATAGACAGGACCTGTTCCAGTGCAGGGGTCCAGGAGGGCTTTTCATTTCAGAAGAGGTTGAGGAAACAGAGCAGCCCAGCAAAGGGAATGGCGGCCCCACTGGGGACCGCGACGGGTAACACTCAGACCCCAGGGGGCCCCTGTCCCAGCACACATATGTCCCTCTCTCTGGTTGACCAGCTCTGACCTACTCTCTTCCTGGTCCAGGTCCTCCTGCTCGAAGCGGCGGAGCTGCCCTCGGGCCCTGACAATGACCTGCCGGCCCCCCAGAGCACCCTGCCACCCTGGAACGAAGACTTTCTCCCTGATGCCATCCCTCTTGCCCACCCTGGGCCCAGAAGGAGAAGGCCTACAGGCCCAGCCGGTGAGCTAGGCCAGGAGAGGAGGACTCAGTGGGTGGGTGTGGGCCTGGGCATGGGCTTTGAGGGCCTTCATGACCAGGTCACCACTGGGCCTGGGCCTCAAACAGCCCTTAGAGGGCTTTGGTTCAAATCACATGCATTTAAATATTATTTTTTAAAAAAATTAACTGAGCCAGCATTTACAAACTGGGGGATTTCATGTAAAACTCAGACCTGTTTCACTAAAAAAAACCCCAAAAAACCAAACCCCACCACAACAACAATAAAATAAAACCAAAACACCCTTTCCACCAAACCTGCACATCTGGCATTTGGGACTGACAGTCCCTTGGGAAACGACTGGCTGAAGCTAAGCCTCACTGACTCTCTCAACCAAATCCAGGCTCAGCAGTTTGCCGCAGTCCTCACCATTCCCTACTGTCTCGCAGTCCCAGCTGTCCTCATTGCCCTCGCTGCTCCTCAGCCTCTGCACGGAGGTCCCCAGCCCAGCCCCTTCGCTGTTTGTTTCACTCGTATAGCATCCCATCTCCCCCTGGTGGTTCCTTGCTGAACTCTGACTGGAGCTCTGGTGGCCTAGTGGTAGTAAGGAGCTGCACTGCCAACCTGAAGACGCGTGGTTGGAATCCACCAGGTGCTCAGTGGGAGAAAGATGGGCAATATCCTGTGTGATTTACTGCCTCCGAAAACCCACTGGATGGTCAGCTGTCAACAACTCTTCAGTCAAGGTTAAAAATACTCTCTTTGCTGCGTTTCCTTATGGGCCTGGGTTTGCCTTCAGGGTCTGCACACTTGTAATAAGGTTGCAATAATCATTGTCTCAGCGGGGGGATGACGCTTTGCAACAGGCCCATGCGAGGCTCTGCCCCAGGTGGCTGTCCAGCCAGTGTGCACCATCTCATGACCTGGGGGTGGTGCAAGGCAGCGTTCATGCTGACAGGTCAGTAGCATGCTGTGCCCGTTGTTAAACATTTTTATGCCATGCCCAGCTGTGGAGATCTGTTCTAAATTTTTCAATAAGCTTGTGAAGTTTGGCATGACCAAGGAAGAAATCAAGGCTCAGAGAAGTTAAGTGGTCGCCCAACACACCACGAGCAATTCGCCTCACTGATTCTCCCACCTTCTCTCAGTTGAACCCCAGCACCTCAGTGTCCTGTCTTAGACTCAGCTCTTCTCCCTCCACCCCTCTGTCCTCCTGGATACAAGCCTGTCTTGCTACAGAACCACCTCCCCCCCCCCCATTGGGCTTCAGCTCCAGGTCTGTCTTGGGCAGATGCGCCCTCCACTGGGCACAGGAGGAGTGAATACGCTTTACTTTGCAGGGATTGAAGGCTGTAGAAGAGGGGAGCTCAGGGTGGCTACAAGGAGCAGCCCCTAAAGACTCATCTCAGCTTGGTCTTCCTCGGCTGTCCCTCAAGGTCTCACCCTTGGAGGTCTGCCGCATATCCACCTTCTCCAAACCGTCTTTAATAAACGGAGAAGGATGGGAACTAACCACCCCTCAGCACTCCCAACCCCCACCAAAGGCCCCAGGTCCCGAAAGGTGGGGATGGACATTGGATGTCCTTGGCAAGATTCTGACCACAGGAAAGTGCAGTTCCACAACGTAACCATCAGGTGGCGCACAAACCCTGTTGTTAGACGCCGACTGGTTGGGGCCCTCACCCTTAGGGACTCCCTCCAACAGAGCGGAACACTGCTGGATCCTGTGCCATCCGCACCATTGCTGAGGTGCTCGAGTTCACTGTTACAACTGCGGCTCCAGCCCGTCCCCTTGAAGGTCTTCTTTCTTCTCTTTTTCCCTTTAACATATGGTTAAACTTGGGAGAGCCCGCCTTGGCCCTGGGTTCCATGAGGAATCTCCAACACCAGCCTTGACCCAGGCCCTCCTGCCAGCCCACAGAGCCACACTGTCTGCACTGGGAAGCTGCAAGGGAAGGTTGGCTCCCTTAGTTCAGCAAAACCGCTTCTGAGGATGCTGTGAGGGCAGCCCAAAGGGACACAGGACTGTCCCTGGCCAAACTAGACACCTCAAGCCAGAGCTCCCAGAAAGCCATAGTGTGGCCCTGGTCACAGCTTTTCTCTCTGACAGTAGGAGTGATGAGAGAGAGAGACTGTGACCTTGAGCAAGGGAATAAACCTTTCGTTTTTAATTTTTTTTTAAATTTTTATTTTATTATTTTTTGTGCGTGTACTGTCAAATCAGATCTGACTGGTACAGGACGAGATTGTCATCTCTCCTTCTCTGGCAGAACATCTGGTGGATTTGAACCACATGCCTCTGGGATTGCAGTGCAGCTTCTTGCCACTAGGCCACCAGAGCTCCCCGGAATAAACCTTTCTAAGTCTTAGTTTTCTCATCTGTAAAATGGGAACACATTTTCTTGGGATTTGTTTTGGAGGCCACTGAATTGCTTCTGATTTGAAACAACAGCAGGTGATAAGCAGAGAACTGCCTCACAGTGTTCTTACGGCTGTGATCTTTACAGAAGTTGATTCCCAGGTCTTATTCATGTGGAACGTAGGTGGATTTGAACTGTCAACTTGCTGGCTCACTGCTAAATGCTTATGGAATAAATATAGAAGTGCTTTGTAAACTGAGACCTGACCCAAGGCAATGATAATGCTTTTGTTGGTCCAGGGGCGGCCCCTGAGTGGACAGGGCCCCTGGGGAAGGTTAACCTTAACACATGGAGGGTGGGCCATAACTCATTCTCATGGCAGGACCACCAGGACAGACGGGACCACCAGGGCCTGCAGGACCCCCAGGCTCCAAGGGTGACCGGGGCCAGACTGGTGAGAAGGGCCCAGCAGGGCCTCCTGGTAAGGAACCCTCTCCTCTGACAGGGTTTTGTTCCTGGGGGGCTCAACTGGGCCGTCTCTCCCACTCAGGCAGATGGGGTGCCCCATAAACCCCTAGATCCTGCTGGGGTACAGCAGCGCTGGGGTCACTCCCCCCATCCCGCTCTCTGGACCCATCCAGGATCACACTACTGACCACCCGCAGGTCTGTCCCCTCTGTGTGAGGCAGACGGTCCACCTTGCGGCCTCTGGAAGGTTCTAGGGGCTCCAGGTGCAGGTGTGGAGGTAGGGTTGTTCTAGGCCCTTCTCTCTAGCTCCTCTGGGGTCCTGTGGGACAGGGGTGAGCCCTGGTTGAGGTGCAGTCCCTGACCCAGGTCTCAGGTGCTGCTGGCACCTTGATGAGTGGGGTGAATGGTTCCCCACCCCTCACCTCTCTCACCTCCACCTCCATGTCCTACTGGACCAGTCAGGGAGGGGGAGCCATTCCACTCACGTCTGAGACGTGCCCAGAGATTGGGATCCAGAGGCCTGACCCACCGTGTGATCCCGGCCAACGTCATCCCACTGACCCACCCTATGATTCTGACCAGCGCCATCCCCTCCTGGGCCTCAGTTTCCCCACCTGCAATGTCTCAGCCATCAGCCCCAGCCCCTCTTAATATCTTTTCCTAATTATAGGTTTTCTGGGGCCCCCAGGCCCCCGAGGGCTTCCTGGAGAGATGGGGCGCCCTGGCCCCCCCGGCCCTCCGGGTCCAGCAGGTAGTCCTGGGCTCTCCACCAACAGCCCCCAAGGCGTCCTGTACTCCTTGCAGCCCCCCACGGACAGAGACAGTGAGTGTGACCTGAGGGCTCTAGGGAGGGCTGGGCTGCTGCGTCCTGGGTACAGGGAGTGAGACCCCTCTGGGGTGGAGGCTTATGAAGGCAGTGCTGTACCCTTCCTCTCAGTCTCTGAGTTGTTGTCCCCCGCTCAGCCCCATACTTCATTGGCCCTGACACTCGAGGTCACTCTGCTTACTGGCCTGTCCCAGTCAGCCCCCCACAGGACCATGAGCAGTCAACACGTGTTTCTTGATCCCCTGCTGTGTGTCAGGCATATGGTTGTAGTTATGGGGGTCCAGCAGGATCCTCCCCAGCCCTCTGGGATCTACAGCCCTGTGACCAGGGACAAGACGATCAGTACAGGGACAAGGGAGGTTGAGTCCAGCGGAGAGTAGGAGCTGGTGGTGCCCATCAAGGGCTCTGGACCTGAGGGACAGTGAGTGGCCAGTTGGCCTTGGAGGGGTGGGAGAGTGTCCCTTGGAGTTAAGTGCCCTGGGTTTTCAAGAGAAAGTGATAAAGTGGACTTAAAGACCGAGCAAATGAGGGTGGTGTTTGTACTGGGCAGAGTGGGGGATGGGAGGGTGGGCAGCCGGGTACTGGGGGAGAGAGGTGGATGTATATCCCTGGCACTGAGGGGATGGGAGGGTGGGCAGCTCGGGTACTGTGAGAATGGGTGGGTGTATGTCCCTGGCACTGAGGGGATAGGTGGGTGTGTATCCCTGGCATTGAGGGGATGGATGGGTGAGCATCTCAGTTTTAGGGGAATGGGTGGCCCTGGGGGGATAGGTGGGTGGGGAGCTTGAGTACAGTGAGGTTGGGTGGGTGTATGTCCCAGGCACCGGGGGGATGGGTGGGTGGGCAAGCATCTTGGGTACAGTGGGGCTGGGTGTGTGTATGTCTCAGACACTGAGGGGGTTTTTTAGATGGGGAGTTTGGGTACAGTGGGACTGGGTGGTTATACGTCTCAGGCACTGAGGGGCTGGGCGGGTGGGCAAGCATCTTGGTACAGTGGGGCTGGGTGGGTGTATATCCCGAGCACTGAGGTGGAGGTGAGTATGTATCCTGAGCATTTTGGGAGATGATGGGTGGGCTCTGGGCCCGCAGGCCTCAGTCAGGCCCCTTACTGGGTGTTGGACACACTGTGCCAAGCCCAGACCATGCCCACAACATGCCCTGCGTAGGTGGTAGCTAGCGCTGCGCTCCTGTAAGCCTGCAGAGTGGAGCCTGGACTCTGGGTCTCAGGAAGATGGCAGGAGCCAAGGGTAGTGGGCGCCCCCGTCCCCTCACTGTTGAGGAAGGAGCTCAGGGCCCTGGGTGGCCTGTTTATGAGCCCCTTTCCCCAACCGCTTTCCCCGCCCCATGAGAGAAGCAGGCCTGGTCTGCAGACCCTGCTGCCCCTCTGAAGGGAGGGATCACACCTGGAGCCCCTTCCTCGGGTGTCAGAGATCCTTGGAGGTTCCCGTCCCCACAGCACAGCTCTGCCCTGAGAACTGGTCTCTCCCGGAGCCTTGGTTTTCCTCCCCTGATGGAGATGCTCTGGGGTTTAAAGACACGGCCTCCAGGAGAGACCGTGGGGTTTAAAGACACTCCATCAGGACAGTCTCATTTGAGTGGGGGTCTTGATGGTGCCACAGAGAGTGTACTGAGTCCAGATAATGTGGGAGCAGGACTTGGGGCGGCTCCTGGCCACCTTGGGTAAGAATTGGTTCACTGCCTGCAGACTCAGTTTCTTCACCTGTACAATGGGCACAATGAAATCTCCATCCTTGTGAGGAAGAGGAGGGATCATTTGGGAAGGTGCACCAAGTGGTGGGCGGGTGTCCTGGGCCCTGAGATGGAGTAGGTGGGTGGACATCCTGGGCACTGGTCACACATCCCCACCCACTTGGCCTGGACGCCGCTGCAGGTCACTCCGCTCTCCCCACAGACGGAGACTCACAGCTGGCCTCTGCCGTGGTGGACACAGTGCTGGCTGGTATCCCAGGACCCCGGGGTCCCCCTGGGCCACCAGGTAAGAGTGAGGGCAGCATCCCAGGCTGGTCTGTACTGGGCCCCCCTCTTCCTGGGCTTGAGGAGGCTGAGACACCTTGGGTTCCTGGCCCTGTCTGTCCAGCTGCAGAATGGAGGCCACTGGAGGGAGGACCCCCCCACCGTACTTTGTGGGCCCACTGTCCACATGAGAAGTCTATGGGCTGTCTGTGTGGGAGCCACAGTGGGGAAGCACAGGAATCTGTGGAGCCCCAGACAGAGATGTGGGGTCAAGACTGAGACTTTTGGGGAACCGTGCAGAAGGACCAGTGACCAGGAAACCTTAACCAGCAGGGGCTCAAAGCGAAGGCTGAGGATATGAGCATGGCCCCTGGTCTGGTGTTATTCTCGGTGGAACCCCTCTGAAGAGAAGAGACGGTGTGGGGCCTCGAGGGTGTGGGGACTGCCTCCTTGCCCCCAGTGCCCGCCCGGCTGTGTGGATCCCTGCCTGATCCCTGGTCACGGTCACTCACTTACCTCGGACTGTCCACTGGACAGGGCTGAGGTTCCGAGACTTTTGTGACCAAAGGCAAGCCCTGCTTGACCCACTCTTCAGGAAACGGGGAGCTGGTCAAGGAGATGCAGAGCGGGCTGGAGGGTTGGTGTGGGGACAGGGCCCACTGCTGTGGTCAGGGCCGACCTCACTCGAGAGGTGGCTTTGAACAAACAGCCAGAGGAGGTGAGGAGGAAGCATTAGTCTTCCCGGGCTTCTAGAAGCTTTGCTGTGGCTTCCACTCTGTGAGGAGGGAGTTGGAGTTTGTTGATTGATTGAGTCAGATCTATGCACACCTTCGAACCCGCACTGCTGTGGCATGGGGGCCGCTCAGGATGGAGACTTATTCTCCCCCTTAGAAGATCTGCAGGGGGCCCCAGCACACAACATCAACCCTCCTCTACCTCAGATCTAACCTGCCCCTCTGGGTGCCCAACCACAGGTATGGGCAGGTGATTGGTGGGGTAGGTTCTGGAAGGCTTCCTGGAGGAGGTGATGGTCAGCCTAAAACTGATGGGGAAAGACTTGCTGATCAAGGTGGGGGCTGAGGGAGGGTCATGCAGCCGGAAGGAGCAGCGCTGGCAGAGATGCAGACAGAGGACCAGGCCTGGACGGCAGGGGGTTCAAGCACCTGAGAAGTGCACAGCTGGATTTGCGTGGCTGAGAGTGTGTGGACGTGCCTGTGTGGAGGGGGACAGCCAGGAAGCTGCTTTTGTGACCCAGACAGGGTGGGTGACCTCTGCGGAGTTGGGGCTGGGGTCCGAGGAGGGGCAGGTGTGGAGGATTTGCTTAGACTCACAGGTGAGGGGTGGGCGCATCCAGGCTGACACGCCTCATGCCCAGGTCTCCCCAGTGAGACCCTGAAAGGAGGTGTAGGGGCTGCAAGGGGTCTGGGTGACAGGAGGGATCCCCCAGGGTGGCTGAGGTGAGCAGTCAGGTGGCTAAGGGGTCTGTTCCTGTTACCTCCATTCATTGGGCACACCTTTGTTTTTCTCCTTAGGAGACAGGCGCTGGGACAGGAGGTTGGGGAGTGTCTCTCCCAAAACTGACAGGAGCAACAGGCTTCCCTGGCCCTGACTGACCATCTGATCTCTGCCCACAGGTCCCCCTGGACCACACGGTCCCCCAGGACCTCCAGGTGCTCCTGGATCCCAGGTAGGGATGGTCTTACTTCCAGCCTGGAGGGTGGGGGGCAGGCATTCCCAGAAAAGAAGCAGGTAGGTGTCCCAGGAAGGCAACAACCATGCACCCAAGCCCAGCTGGCCAGAGAGAGTTTGGTTTTCTTATCAGCAGCCTCCCTTTGCGGCCCACTGGCCCTGTGACTGAAGCCCTTGCAGTGTCTTAAGTAATATCAGTTGAAAGGTCAGTGGTTCAAATCCACTAGCTGCTCTAGGGACAAAGTTGGGCATTTTCCAGTAAAGTCACTGAGTCTCCAGGCTCAATGGTGATGCTTTATTTTTGTTTTTATTCCTGCGTCAGGCAGTTTGAGGGGCTGGTTAGCATCAACCCCAGGCCATGTGAGAGGGACACAGCAGAGGACAGGAGAGTCAGGACCCAGCCCCACCCTCTAGGAGCTGACAGATGAATGGGGGAGGCAGACAGCCGAGATGCACAACGCATGAGTAAACGTGAACGGAACGGGGCAGCATTTGATGAGGGTGAAACAGGGCCGCGGATGATGGAGAGTCCACGAGATAAAGGTGACAGGTGACAGGTGGGAGGAGGTGGTGCTCAAGCTGAGACCTCAGGAGCCTGGAGGAGCAGATGTGCCGAGATTTGAGGAAGATTCCAGACCGAGGGTAAAGAGCAGGGACTGAGACCCTGAGCAGGGATGAGGGTGGGAGAGGGAGGAGCAGGTCGGACGTGGGGTTTTGTTCAAGTGGACCCGGAACTCGGTGCGTTCTTGACTTATGTCTTTAGAAAGCCCCCCTGGCTCCTCTGGGGATGAAGGTGGTGAGGTGGGGATCCCAGGGGGAGACCCCAGGAGGGAGAGGAAGAGGCGAAGACTTCCATTACAGAAGCGGTATAAACGGACGAGTAGACAGACGTTATTTTGGAAGCAGGGAAGACAGTATCAGCGATGAAGTGAATTTTCAATGGAGAGCGGCGGGCTCGGTGAACCCCCAGGTGCAGGACTGGGGGAACCGGAAGGCCCACTTTGGACAGTTGACATGGAACGCCCCCCTGGGGGCGGGGTGAAGTGTTAGTTGCAGAGCCCCAGGGGCTGTCTGAGGCCAGCATCAATAGGGATGCCCTGTAGGGGACTGTCAGCTTGTTCCTGCCACCACTCATTCTCTCAGGGTCCGTCTCTCCAAAGCTGAGGGTGCGTGCTCTGCCATTCTTTGCTCTCTGTGATGGCTGAGCCGGGTGTTGTCCCATGTCACAGATGAGAAAACGTAGGGCCCTAACTGGGCCCCAAACCATGTAGCAACCAGTGGAGGGTTCTCAGGACCTGGATGCCCCCCAGCTGGAGTCCGTGAGGAGGGGACTGAGATGCTGCGGGAGGCGGGGGCAGGACCTGACTGGCTTCCTTTGGTTTTCTGCAGGGCCTGGCTGGAGAGCGGGGCTCTGCTGGGCCATCCGTAAGTGTGGGACTGTGGAAAGGGCCTGGGCAGGGGGCCTACTCTCTGAAGGACACTGGGCTCTGTGGGGCTCAGGGTCCTGGATGGGAAACTATCCTATGTGGCTTTGGCTGCCTCTGGACAGCTTTCCCAAGTGTGACCTCACTGGTTCAGTCAGTACAGGGCAGAGGGAGGGACGGGGTCACCAGAGGGCAGACAGCTGAGGTGACTTAGGGTGGAGCTCATCAGGGCCACATAGGGAGGACTGACAGCCTCCTATCAGGTGTTGAGGGCACAGATACCTGGAGGAGGGCCCTGTGATCTCCCGTCGAGAGTCTGCCCTCAGGTCAGTCACCTGTGTGACCTGTGTTGTTCTCTATGACCTGGACCCCTGAGTTAGTATCCTGTGGGTCCTGGGTCCCTGGGTCAGTGTCTGATGTGACCTGGGCTCTTGGGATCACCACCACTATCCTGTGTGACCTGGGCCCTAGATCAGTCACCTATATCCTGCGTTCACTGTCCTTGTGTCCTGGGTTCCTATGATCAATGTCCTATGTGACCTGGACCCTTGGATCAGTGTCCTGTCTGTCACGGGCCACTAGGTCACTGTTATGTGACCTGAGCTCTTGGCTCACTGTCTTGCATGGCCTGGGGCCCTGAGTCAGTGTTCTGAATCTCCTGAGTCCCTGGGTCTGTCACCTCTGTGTCCTGAGTCTCTGTGATCATGACCTGGACCCCTACATCAGTGTCTCGTGTGACCTGGAGTACTGGGTCAGCAGTGATCTGTGTGTCCTGGGTCCCTGGGCCAGTGTCCCTGGGGGGTCACTGTCTTGGGTGACCTGGGCCCTTGGCGCAGTCACCTGTGTAACCTGGACCAGTGTCAGATTACCAAATAATTGACATAAACCTAGGCTTCCTTCTACTACCAGTCAATCTGTTAGTGAGCGGTTTCACATTTTTTCACCCATCTAAGATTCTGGGTGGCATCCATCTCTCCCAGCCCCCAGGCCCCTCCTAGCATCAAAGCTTCTTTTCCATAGTGCTTTCTCTGATGGGGACGGATACACAGTAATTCAGCTAAATCGAGGTTTGCCTACAGATTAGGAAATCCACCTCAGCCAGCCTTGATGATATTGTTTGCTGGGTGCCCCACCCCAGCCTGGGCTCAGGGCTCTGTGGGACCTGGAAGGTCTCTTCCTTTCTCTGACCCTCCTGGAATATGGGCCCAAGACCAGCTGGCCTATGACTGTCCATCTTGGAAGTAAGACTTTAAATGTCCACTCCTGCCTCCAGGGCCTGCTGTCTAATGTAGGAGGTAGAGGGAGAGAGGAGGGCTGTGTGCTGGCCACTATAGAGACGCTCTGCTGTCTACAATTTAAATGTCACAGCAACCCCCTGAGGCTGTGCCTGATTGTCCCATTTCCTGGAACTGAGGCTCAGAGAGGTTCAGTATCTTGCCCTACGTCACACAGCCACACTGCTGGGAAGAGGCAGAGCCAAGTGTTAAACTTAAAGCCACGCTACCTCTTCATGCCGTCCCGGGGTAGCAGTGTTGTCCTTCTCAGTACTTCTGGGTGGCAGGTGGGTTCCGAGTGAGTCACACCGTGATTTGCTTAATCTTCCTACGAACTCCATGGCATTAGGTGCTCTTTTTACCCCTAGTTTAGCGAGAAAATAAGGCACAGAGAGAGAAGTCACTTACTCGGGGTCATACAGCGGACGGTGGCTGTCCACTATGACTACTGTCTAGTGTCATTGTGAGGCCAGTGTTGTTGGGGGGGGGTCTTTGAATTAGTTATAACTCATAGCAACCCCATAAGTCAGAGAACTGCACTGCGGCTCCCCCAGGCTGCAACAGTCCCAGGAGCCCTCTGTCATGTCTCTTCTCCCTCGGAGTAGATGGTGGATTCGAACCACTGGAGATACCCAGACAAAAGCGAGCTGTGCTGTTAACCCTACGGCGAGGCAGTACCCACCAAACCAATCCACTCCCTTGTCTCTTCCTCTAGGCTGGGAGCCTCTGTTGGGGTTGATGACAGCTGTCTTGCTCCTGGTCCACATTTGTTGAAGGCGGTGTGGATGGATGAATGGGTCAATGAACGGAGGGATGCGTGCTGAGTGGCTGGGGGGTGAATAGAAATAAGATGCACAGGCCCCTCTCATTGGATTTGCAGCCTCGAATCTGAGGAATTGTCACTGTGAGTTGGAATTGACTCAGAGGCAGTGAGGTATCTTCGGACACCTTTTGAGGCCCCTGAGGTCTAAAGAAGAGGGTAGAGAGGTGCCCCACCCCTGAAAGGCCTGTTGACTCATGACTCTGCTTTTCAGGGAGAGCCTGGCGTGAAGGCAGAAGGGGAGAAGGCTGCAGAGGTAACGTCTTAGGAACGTACATGGGTTCTCCGGGACTGATTTCACAAAGCACCACACACTCGGGCGCTTAAAGGAACAGACATTGTCTCGGCTCTGGGGGCTGGGCGTCTGGGATCAGATGCCATCTGAGGGCTTGGAGGACAGATCTGTCCCAGGCCTGACTTCTAGCTTCTGTTAACAGCCAGAAATCCTTTAGCTCCAATCCCTGCCCTCATTTCCCCTCTGTGCCTGCCTCTGCTTCTCTTCACAAGAACGTCACTCAGTTTAGGACCTGCCCTGCTCCAGTGGGACCTCATGGTAACTGATATCCCAGCTTCAAAGACCGATTTCCAAATGAGGTCCCAGGCCCCAGCAGCCGGGCCTGGAAGGTCACCGTCTTTTAGTGCAACAGTGCAGTCCGTCAAAGATGTCTCTCTGATAACTCAGGAGGAGGCTCTGAGCCTCCTTTGGTTGTGCTTTAAGCTCAGCTAATCTAACCCTGACAGCCCCATGTGTCATACCAGCTGAAGGCACCGTTTTTCCTCTGCAGCCTGGGGCTTGGCTGATCAGGGGCAGCGGCCTTGTCCGTTTGCTACCACTTTTCTTTGCAAAGTGGCCTTGACACCTGTCTTCTCAATAAATCCATGCCCTGTCTCAGTTCATTCACGGACCTCAGCGCACTAGGTCTTCTGAGCATGCCTAGACCAGGCCCCCAGAATGCAGCTTTGTTCGCGGTGCCTTCTTGCCCAAGAGGAGGCTTTCCCATCATTCAGCAGAGCCCATTTGAATCGGGGGATAAATGGTGCCGGCCAGCTGTCAAGAGGAGGTGAATGAAGCACCTCTGTCTGTGAACCCTGGGCTCATGCTCTGCCCCACATCTCTGTGTTCTGGAAAACAGGACACATAGGAAACAGCCAGGCAGCCACGGTAGGAGAAGCCCAGGTTCAAGGCCAGCAGGTCTGAGTTTGAAGCTGTGTCGTTCACAGGGACGCTGGTGGTTCTCTCTGGGTGGTAGGTTCCTTATCTATGGACAGGACTCAAGTCTGAACCCCGCAGGCCTGAAACGTAGCAGATGCCCTCCCTGATTGATGGCTTTTTGTGATAAGGGTGGTGACAAAGGGGGACGGCTGGGGGGACACGTGCTGGGCAGCAGGGTGGCCCTGCTCCATCCCTACAGCAGGCCTGACCTGACCTGTGTCCCCCCGGCAGGGCGAGGGAGTCCAGCAGCTGCGTGAGGCCCTGAAGATCCTGGCAGAGAGGGTGCTCATCCTGGAACACATGATTGGGATCCACGGTGAGTGCTGGAAACAGGCAGGCACGGCCTGGTCACCTGCTGCCGACCTTCCACTCCTCCCCGCTGTCCTGCCACAGTATGGCCTCCCTGACTCAGTGACACCCTCCTCTCAGCGGCCCGATGGTCTCACCAAACCCCAGTCTGACCATTTATCTCACGTCCTTAAAGCCTATCACTGGGGGAGCTCTGGTGGCCTAGTGGCAAGAAGCTGCAACTACAATCCCAAGAGGTGCACGGTTCGAATCCACCAGATGCTCTGCCGGGGAAGGAGGGGCAATCTCCTCCTGTACCAGTCAGATCTGATTTGACGGTACATGCACACAAAACTTAATAAAATTAAAAAAAAAGAAACTACATTTAAAAAAAAAAATAAAGCCTATCACTGGCTCCCTGCTGCCCGCCAATGAGGTCCAGGCTTATCAAGTCAAGCTCCCCAAGTCCCTCCCAGGCATGGCCCAGTCAACATAGAGCGGCCACTCAAACATCCCAGCCTTTCCCCTCCTCCCTGCCTTTGGTCAGGCTTGTCCCTCTGCTGATAAGCACTGATTCCTATGTGCAGCCTGTTTCACAGGTCTCTTCCTATGAGCCTCCTCCTCGATATCCCACAGCTCACTGTGAGGCCTTCCACCCAGCACGCTGTGTCGTCTCTATACCTCTCCTGGCAGGCTCAGGCCCTCTGTTAGGTTTGATGATTGATGCTTTTCTGCTGGTACACATTTGGTGAAGGAAGGATGGATGGAGGGATGGATGGAGGGAGGGAGGGAGAGAGAGAGGGAAGGAGGAAAGGGGAGAGGGATGGATGGATAGATGGATGGATGGATGGATGAGTGGATGGAAAGGTCAATGAACTGATGGATAGGTCCATGAATGGACAGATGTGTGAATGAGTGGATGGTTGGATGTGTCTATGGGTGGACGGATATGTGAACGGATGGACAGACGGATGGGTGAAGAACAGTGGATGGATGGGTGAACAGTGAATGGATAGGTGGATGGATGGATGGATCACTGAATGACTAGAAGGCAACATGAACGAGTGCATGGGTAGGTGGACAGGCTGGTGACAGAGTAGATGGATGGTTAGACGAGTGGGTGAATGAGTGAGCCTGTGGGACGCACACACCCATCTGCTGTTTGCCCCGTCTGTGCAGGCACAGGCTTCTCTCTTTGACCAGGAGTTGGAAACAAAGATTCGCCGGTTATTTGTAAGGTTCTGTGCTAAGCTCCCCCTTCTGCTCTCCTTCCAGATCCCTTGGCTTCCCCCGAGGGGGGCTCTGGCCAGGATGCCGCTGCCGCCCTAAGAGCCAACCTCAAGATGAAGCGAGGTGGCCCCCCAGCGGAGAGCCCCCTTGCTGCCCTGGTTGTTCCGGCGTCTGGGCAGAAGAGTACCGGCCATGCCAGTGGGAGGAAGTAAGAGCCCAGCTCTCCAGAACCACCTGGCCCTGCTTGGAAATTCATCTGAGATGCTCCCGTGCTGCTCCTGGTTCCTGAAGAAACCCCATGTGGGGTGCGCTGAGGTCTGGGCCTGGACAATTGGGAGGAACACTGGCTCCTGAGATCTGCAGACTTGGGGACAGATGGCACCTCGAGGGTCCGGAGAGGATCAGCACCCTCGGCAGACCCCCACTCGCTCTGACCTGCCCCCACTCCCTGCTGGGAAGGAGTCTGGGTGCACTGGGAGATGGCTATGAGAATAATTGTTAGTACGCGTCATTTGTTGAGCCCTTCTTGCTGTGTCCAGGGCCCTTGTACAGGGATCTTTACATACGTTGTCTCATTTAATCCTTAGGAGGTAGGCTTGCCATCCCCACTTACGCACGGGGGAGATGGGCTCAGGGTGTACATAACCTGCCGTGGCTGGGTCCGAATTTGAACTTGGCCTCTCAACTCCAGTGCTCCCCTATTCTGCTAACTCCCTTCTCTTACGTGGAAAAAGAGAGTATAGGGCAGATGCTCCCCTCCAGGCAGCAGGAAGGATGGCAGGGGCGGCCCCCCAACCCTGAGCCTGGCCTGTAGCTACTCCCCAAGGCCAGGGTGACCCTGAGTGAATGCACAGTCCTGTAGACTCAGGACCTGTTAGTATCAGCCATGGGTACCTCCCAGTCTCACTGAACCCTCCCACCTACAACTCTGCCCGATGGCTCCTTCTGAGCTGACCAGAAGGAGGATGTCATAGGAACGTGACCCCTCAAGAGGACCGTTGGGGGTGGGGCTTACCGTGCCCTGCCTCCCCCCAGCCTCTGGGAGACCTATAGGGACCCGGTGCTCAGAAAGTCTAATGTCCCCTGGGCAGTTAAATAAAAGACAGCAGAGGATGCTGTGGTCACACCCACACTGGCCCTACCATGTAAGCAGCCCAGGCCATGTCCCTCTCAGGCCCCTCTCAGGCCCCTCTCAGGCCCCTCTCAGGCCAGGTGTCCTCATGTCCTGGCCCAGCTCTGGTGCTCCTCTCTCCCTGGCCAGGCCATGGCCTTTGAGGCCCCTCTCAGACTACGTGTCCTCACGTCCTGGCCCAGACCTGGTGCTCCTCTCTCCCTGGCCAGGACCCAGGGCTCCATAGTGGCAGCAAATTCTAAGGTGCTAGTGCCCCTTGACCTGTGTCCTTACGTATCAGGGGCCACCCAGCCCCGCGCTGTGCTGTGAGGCTGTGAGGCTGTGGGCTGGTCCTGCCTGGCCCTGGCTACTCCTCCCTGAGGCGGATCTGCCCCTGGTCTCTGTCTCCAGGTGGGGCGGTTCCCAGCGGGTAACACCCTGACAATAAAGGTGCTCTCCCCACCGTGGGCTCTGGTGTCATATGTCAGGGTGACTCTGTGTGTGTCTGTGTGGTGGGCTGAGACCTCTGGGAGCCAAGACCCCAAGGCAGGAGAGTGAGGAGAGGTTGTGCAAACCCCTGTGAGGTACCTCCCTGAAGGATAAGGGTGAGTCCAATTCTCATCTTGCAATCAGGACTGTGGGAGAAATGAGGACCTGCAGGGCTCTGGACAGAGGGACCCCCCCTCCTCCCGTCCCCTGCCCCAGGCCTGGGGTCAAGGACATCCCCCAGGTGCTCCAGTGAAGCTGCATGCTCTAGCTAGGAGCTTGAGGGGTCACTCTGAGTCACCCTGTGACCATCATTCTAGGGACCAGGAAACAAAGCATGTCACCCTGTGCCAGGGGCAAGGTGTCTGGTGGGTCCAACGGGGTTTCCAGTGGCTGTGGACCCAGTTCCCACACATGGCAGCCCACTGGTACAAACTGTTAAGCGTTTGGCTAATAATCAAAACCAGATGGGCTGACACAGTGACCATATCCGTGGGCTCCAGGATGGGGCAGGGGCTCAGACCTGCTGTTCAGAGGGATTCTGAGTCAGAGTCAACTTGATGGCACCAAACAACTCTAACCGAAAGGTCAACCCACCCTGAGGTGTCTCCAAGGAAAGGCCTGGAGATCTGCGTTTGAAAGGTCCCAGCCTTGAAACTCTGGGATGTTTCTATTGGCAAGTGAGGTGGGGGCGTTTCTGATTCATAGCGTCTCTGTGGACCACAGGACGGAGCGCTCGGCGTCCTGAGCCATCATCGCAGGAAGTGCTGAGTTCAAGTTCATTGTTGTACCCACTGTGTCTGTCAGTCCGTTTCATGGAGGGTCTTTCTCTCTTCTGCTGACCCTCGACACCATCACACACACCTGTCCCTTTTCCCAGAGACTGGTCCCTCCTGTTAACAGGTCCAGGGGACATAGAACCAAGTCCCAGTTGCTTCTGAGGACCATTCTGGCCGCACTTCTGCTGAGAGAGCTGCTCTTCCTCCTGGCAGTCCATGGCGTGTTCATTTTTTCTTCGCCAACACCACCATTGAGATGCATTTCTTCTTTTTTTTATTTTTATTTTAATTTTTTTTTGTATTATTTTTACGTGTACCGTCAAATCAGATCTGACTGGTACAGGAGGAGGTTGCCTCCTCCTTCTCCAGCAGAACATCTGGTGGATTTGAACCGTGTACCTCTGGGATTGCAGTGCAGCGTCTTGCCACTAGGCCACCAGAGCTCCCTTACATTTCTTCTTCTTTGTCTTTCTTTATTCACAGTTCAATTTTCACATGCATGTGAGGGACCAGAACATAGTATGAATTGGGTCAAGCGCACCTTAGTACTCAAAGTGACATCCATATAGTACAAAACACACATACATGAACTTGGGGTTGGTCTTGACCCCTCTTATTACTCTTCCCAGGACAGGAGTTACTAAAGCACATGCCATTCTTTCATGCGTTATCACACTGAACAAATCTCCAGTGGGCCAAACGAGTGGCCAGGCAGTGAGAATCCCTGCCCATGGAGCTGGCAGTTCCAGGGGGAGTAGTGAAGACAGGCAGTATTTGTAGACAGATATATGTAAAGTAACTATTAAGGCAGGCTGGAAGGGATCAATATCCTGGAAAAACTAATGGGCTGGGCGTGACAGCTGTGACTGAAGGAGCAAGGGGGAGGCTCCGTGGGGAAGGTGACATTTGAAGGGACACTGCGGCTGGAGAGGGAGTGAGCTGATAGCTATGTGAGGGAAGAAGGTTCTAGGCAGAGGGAGCACCAGCGGCCATGGTCCTCAGCTGTGGAAGCCAGGAGTGTCCTGGCTGGGGGCAAGGTGCAGGCCTGGCTGGGGCTGGGGGCGGGCGTCGCGGTCAGACTCTGGGTTGGAGAGAAACGTCCCATCCTTAGCCTGACTGTGCACACAAAGGGCCTTGCTGTCTCTCAGAGAAGCAAGAACACAGTCAGCCCACTGTTCACAGTGGTATTTGTAGCCACCAGGCCAGCAGCACCATTCTTACCCCTTCAGGAACCTGGGGTCTCGGACCCCACAGGGCTTTGTCCCGGTGTATCCAGTTTGGGATGAAATGTCTGGGGTCTTCCCTAGAGCACTGAGTAGGGGCTGGGCTGGGCCCCCCAAGCTTGGTTCTCCAGCCAGGGCCTCCCTCCATGCAGGCTCAGCTCAGGGCAGGGGGGGTGTCAAGTCCTCGGGCCTGTGGGGCTCCCCCACCCCACAGGAAGCCCCTGGAAGGCTGCCCACATCCACACCCTGCTCTGGGGCCCCTCCCCCTGCATAACCCCATGATCCCAGCTGAACTACCAAGCGAGGCACCTGCTCTGTGCCCCATGTTGTCTCCCCAGAATGTCATGTAGCCACACCTGCACAGAGGAGGGTTTGCTAATCTGCTCGACTGAGGAGGAGCCATGGTGGAGGCAAGGACCTGGGTCCTTGGGAGTGAGCAACACGGGAGCAGTGTCCGCACAAAGGCCTGGGGGTGGACAAGGGCGGTTCACTGGGAACCCAGAGACTATCCATTTAGGTGGGCCTGACACTATCCATTTAGGGGGGCCTGACACTATCCATTTAGGGGGGCCTGACACTATCCATTTAGGGGGGCCTGACACTATCCATTTAGGGGGGCCTGACACCATCCATTTAGGGGGGCTGACAATATCCATTTAGGGGGGCCTGACACTATCCACTTAGAGGAGCTCTGACACTATCCATTTAGGGGAGCCCTCAGAGCATTCATGTTGGGAACAGGAGGGGTGGAGAGAAAGGACAAGACTCTCAAGGATGTAAGGTTTTCCTGGTAGAGGAGGGGCGCCAAGCATGAGACCTCTTTTCTTTCTTTCGAGCTTGTTCTCAGCATCTCTCAGCACCCCTTTCTCTGAGCCCCTCCTCCACCAGGTGACACCCCACTATAATTACCTGTGCAGCTGCCTTTCAGAGAGACCGGATGCCAGCCCACAAACGGAAACCTCTACCCCTGAGTGATGCTGAGTGATGAGGCTGTCTGCCTTCTCTCAGACCCAGAGCAAAGATGACCCTAACAGAGATGGTCAGAGGTGCACAAGGTAATAGACACTCCCGTTCTGGGGTCAGGGATGAAACTCACCTTCAAGGGACAGGCTAGCATGGCCAGTTTCTTCTGTCCAGCCTGGTCCCTCCACTCCACCACTGTCACATCTTTCTGGACTTAGGCATGACTGTGCCCCTCCTTGTTAGTGTGTATGCTGTGCTTCCCACACGCTGGCCCAGAAGCTGGGCCCAGCATCCTGGTTCCCAAGTCCAGAGCTGTCCCTTTGCTTGTCTCACTGTCGGCTGGCTGAAACCTGGCTTCTCTTCTCTGTCCAGCTCATGGGTGCTATTCCTGGGTCATGGGGGGCCTGCAGGAAACTCAAGAGAACAGGCCTGGAAGGGCCTGGACAAACCCTGGCACTTACAGCCCAATTGGAGCAAAGCGCCTGGCCGTGCAAACTCCCTGGACCCACCACCTCATCTGAGCAGGCAGCCCTTGGAAGCAGGCTGGGGCCTTGGCTTAACTTTCCCGGGGGGGGGGGGGCTTTGTGCTGCATGTGGAGGCCCCGCCCATCAGGCTCAGATGGCAAGCAAGTACCAGAGCCCAGCTGGGA